TTAAAACTTAGTCTACATGATAACAAATATTCTTCAGGTAAATACATATTAAATTATTATAATGTAACCTATTTTGGAGGGAAGGCTTTAAACTTTTTGAGGATGTTAGTAGAAAGTAAGAAGTCTCTCTAGGATCTTCTCATCTCCCTGCCCTCAAAATGGGGACTGTGATAGATTATCCCCTCCCCCACCACAAGAGCACTATCGTCTAAATTTAGGTCAAGCTCATTTTAAATTGTGCTTCTTATTCTGTCATGGAGACTGGGAGTTTGGATTCAGAATAGCCTTCTGAGACATCTAAGACTGTCATCAACTACCTTATAAAATTAAGGTAGACAAAGTTGTAGAAGTTAAAAAGGTATTCTAAAATAAATGAAAATGAAATTATGGGCACTTTTTTTGTTTAGGTTTTTCCTTCTGCTACTTGGATAATTCTTTACTGTATTTTTTATTCATTCATTCTTTTATTCATTTGCTCCCTTATAGCTACTTTTGTTCTAGTTCGAAGTCATGTGCATTGGGTTTTATCCCCAGAGAAATGCACATGGGCACTGAGTGGGACAGCATATCTCAGCTTACTTTGTTAGGCACTCCCTATTTCACTGCCTTTATAATTCTTGCCCACACCCCCCCCCCCAAAATGCAGAATCCAGCATTCTTCTGAAATTCTTTTCTTCCCTCCTTTAAAACTATTTATGCACTAATATAATATTTGAATAATACTAGCTCAGTCTTGACTACTTCCTCCAGGCACATTTTTCAAACAAGGAAATTATCAGCATTCTTTTTAACTGGTGGCATTCTTGAGTAAAATGGGACACATTTAAACATCTGTGTCTTTTAAAAAACCTGCACAGTGTAAAGATGGTAAGACATCTTGAGGTCTAAAAAGGATATCGAATTGGTTCCCTTATACCATGCCCATGTAGTTATTATTACAGATTTTTACAAATGTGTTTTATTTATTCTGTTAATTCTCTTTATATTTATATGGTTTCATTATCACATATTTGAAGTTCAAGGGGAAAAGAAGGATGTATAACCCACATCTAACTATCTTTTGCCCCTCTGCTAATGCATGACCCCTGCAAAACTTCCTTCTTACTTACACGTATTTTGGGGAGTCTGCCATTGTCATCATGTGCATTCATAAAAAAGTCCAGTGATTTAATGGACATTGGCTGTTTTCTTCTTATTTGCCTCACCCACTGCATGCTAGGCCTGCTCCATCAACTGATTCCTGCTGCCATTTCCCTAGGTGATATGGATTACTCCTTGGTTACTATGTTACTTTTCCTGGGAGTGAACTCCGTTTTGTTCTGCTACCAGGGCTTCTGAAGGGCTACCAGCCCACTTACTTTCTGCTGGGTACCACCCACTATGGCCACTTCACCACCCTTACATCAAATGTTCCCTGTGGGTCTACACAGGGGTCCTTTGTAAAGTAGAATGTCTCTGTCCCATTTTGTCTCCTACTTTTTAGTGGGAAACCAGAGCAGTGGTGTTTGTACATCAGAGCATTTTGAGAAATAGTTTGTACATACTTCTCAGTCTTCCCATTCTCTTTGGAATCAGACATGAATCCTTTGGGGCTGAGCCGGAAGACATGTTCAGATCATAGACTCCACACTGTATTTTCAGAATTTCCCCTTGCATTCCAAAGGGTCAAGGGTTTTGTACTTGACATTTGTAGCTCTCCACAGACCTCATTTAGCTTGTTCTACCCCAAACTGTAATTTCTGAGAAGTCTAGGACTTTCAAACTTAGTAAAGATGTGGGCAGTGGACCTATTGTTTTTCAAGTTAAAAGTGTTCCTGTCTCTTAGATATAAGCCAATGTGGATTACAAAAAAATCCATACCTCACTCTTTGTTTCTATGGAAAGTTTTGACAAATTCTGTATTATCCAACTGACCGAAACTAAAAAACAGAATTTCAAGTGCAATCACTTTTTCATATGTAAGTAGAGGTATGGCCCTTTTGGTTTCAGCTATTAAATTTTTATCCATGTTTAATCTGCTTGATAAAATCTTTTTATGTAGCTACCAACAGCTAAACTTCAACCTTGTCTTTGTCATAAATTCTAATTATTGGTATTGGAATAAAAAATCGAGGAATCTGAGTTTTATTTTCTAGTATAGTCTAGAAGTTGTGACTTTTAATGTTAACTATCAAAGTATGCACCTGTTTCATCATATCTTTTCTTCTCTATTCCTAGTGAAATATTAACCTGTGTACACGTCCTAGTTCAAAAACTTCTTCATGTGTAAAAACGTCTCCACATAGAGATCCTTTTTCTTCATAAAAACCCCTCTCCTTAGTTTTTATTCATTCATCCACTTATTCTTTCATCTCACCTTGTGAAATTACTATATGTAAGGTGAGAGATATTTAATACTTCTTTTGTTTTTTCCATGTAAATTTGCATAGTGCTGGACATACTAAGTAATAATAATAGCAACAGCAAGAACAACAATAAAGTAATTTAATAAAGGTACTCTTAAAACAGTCCTGAGGTAGGTACTTTATTAAACCCATTTTATAAATTGGGGGACTTAGAAACAAAGAAGTTAAGTAATTTGTCCAACTTAGCTAGCAACCTGAGAAGTTAGAATAAGAAACTAGGCAGTTAGAGTCTAGAATCCACACATTAAGCTTAATAGTGTAAAATAAATATTTATTTAATCCATTAACTGATTTTTTAAGCATTCCAGACCATACCCATCCAAATAAGAAGTGGGTAGTTTACATATTCTAATGCACTATTTTAGTTTTTAAAACAGCATAACTATGAAGTAATATTCCGAAGTAATAAACCTCCTAAAACTGAGAGCAATTAAAAAAATATGATTTTGAAAATATTTTGAGTAATGGCAGCCTCAATAGACTCATTCCCAAAGTGACAACTCTGAAAGATAGTACTTACTTACTACCTTGATGGACAGTGACTGTGAAGGGGTATGTGGGGGGGACTTGGTGAAGGGGAGAGCCTCGTAAACATAATGTCCTTCATGTAATTGTAGATTAAGGATACCAAAAAAGAAGAGAATTGAAAAATTCATAATTAGTTTTTTCCTCTATGCCTGATGATAAGGAACCATGTCCTCTTTCCTAGTAATGCAGTCCACTTGCTCTCCTACCCCATGCCTGTATACAGTGGCAGGTGGCAGCCAGCTGCTGGTTAGAGAAGTGCAGATCTGGGGATTGAAGGGTCCTTTGTTTCATCTCTAATTGTTTAAGGCACCTTAGTAACATGAAGAGAGTAAATTCAGATCAATTTAACATTTTCTATTATTATTATAGCCTGTTTCCTTGCTACCCTTTACAACTTCATTTTTCTATCACTTCCCACCAAGCATCTTGAGCTACTGCCATCTCTGGGACTTGCTGTCCTTTTGCCCAAACTACTGCATACTCTCTCTCTCCCACACCTCTGTATAGCCCAGTACAGTAGAGCACTGTGGTTGCAAGCGACTCTGGATCCAGTCTGCTTAGATTCAAAGCCTACCTCTACTACCCACTGGCTTTGTGACCTCTCTATGCCTCAGTTTCCTTGTTATAGGAATAATGATGGTGCTACTTCAAAGAGTAGCTCTGAGGATTAAATGACCTAATACATACAAAATGCTTAGAACAATGCTGTCACAAGGTAAATACTTGGTATTATCTGTTATCATCATTTAATCTCTGAGGTACTGTTAACATTTCACACCTTCTCTGTAGCTTTCTTAGGGCCCACTGCTCCTAAGCCTGCTTTTTCCCAAGCCCACCAAGGTTTGGGCTCTTCTTTTATGCTGCCACATTGCTCACTGTGCTATTTCAAAAATTAGCACACTGTGTCTCATTAGCTCAACATCCATCTGTTTCTTGATGATTGTAAGTGCATTGAGGTCAGATGGAAAGGTGAGAGAAGGGCCAAAGAAGTCTGTACTATGTCTAAAATGATTTTGGATATCACCCATATGAACATTATGAGAAATATTTTTAGTCACTTCTAATGTTAAAGAAGCTGAGGGTTTTTTCTTCTATCTAAAAGATGTCTTAAAATATTTTTCAAGTTTCTTTTGTTATTCAAAAGTTTATTGGAAAGAGCAATTCTTTTATGATCTCTATAAAGGAAATGCTGATAATCTACTGTACATGTTTCTAATACATCGTGAAGTATACATATAATATAGTATTATATATATTTCCAAGCAGATATTTGAAAGTTATATAAATTCCTTTTAAATACTTGTAAAATGTTGACCTTTTTTCCTGGTTCAGACTGGTTTTCTTCCAGTCAGTCCAAACTTATGAGGTTCTACTTCATAAAAAACATAATAATATTCATCATTAATCCCTGGTATTAAAACTGGGAGGAACAGTAGTATGTACATTTTTTTGTTACTTTTGTTTTTTGTTTTGATGTAATTAGAGTGAATATCTGGATCTCTCATGGCATTCAGATCACCAAACTAATCTGAATGCTAATGTAGTTACACACAGTTTACTTCTAAGTAAATATGTTTCTTGTAATAGTAACTATATACCTTGCAAATTCCACTTTAATTAGCCTGTTTGTATGAGAGATTGTAAATATTTGCTTTGTATATTAAAAATACACAACAAAATGTGTTTATACTTAATAACTACTTAACAGATGTTTCCTTTCCTTAAAAATGTTTTTAAAATGCTTAAATATAAAATTATTCTAAATATACTTAGAGCCTTAAAAATCAGACATATGTTATTGAAAATTCCAATATATATATTCTTCTTACCACATTTCTCAATGTGCTGACATACTAAATCTAGGACAAGAAGCTTATTTTTCTTTTTTCCAGAGTTTATTTCTGGATGGTTAACCAAGGATACACTATGGCATGTTTATTCAAATGAACCGTATCTCAAATATCAGTAGTAGCAAATGATTCTTTCTATTATTTCTAAAGGATCTTGGTTTTATTGGCAATACAAGATAATTAATTGGCATCTCTTTTTAATTATTTTTTTAAACAGGACAGAGATTCCTTCTGCCATCAGATGTCTTTCTGCTTGACTGAATTGCACCTGTGGTCTTTGAAGAATACCTTACACGTTGGGGGTAAATGAGCTCTGGATTCATTTCAATATTTTTCAAATATAAATAGAACATTATAAATAAGTACTAGCAAAGATTAGACCCTGGATTCTCCAGCTAGAGTTGCATTATTTTCTTTATAATTAATAAAAAGTTGAAAATAATTTAAAAAAATAGAAAATAATTCCTTTTAGTTACTCTGATGAACTTAAATTTTTTCAGCATGAGTTAGAATTTCTTTTGTAAAAATTAAATTTATTGGCCTAATATTTGTTTCCTGTAAGATGCAACATGTTCAACTTTTTTCCTGGGATTGTTCATAATAATTGATTTATATTCATAAATATTTATAGGCTAGTTAATGGAAAAGATGTCTATTTGATATTAAAATATTTCAAACATACAGCTAAGATGTAAAATTAATTATATTCACATTCTTTACATTTCACATTTTCGGAGATGGAGGAGAGTAATAAATATGTTTTAACAATGTTTATTACTATTATAGGATAAAGTAAAAATCATTAGGAAATACGTTTTAAAAAATCTTTTCTTCTTTGATTATTAAAGCAACTCTTGTGTTTAGGAAGACAATTTTATTTATATGCCTTTGAGCATCATTACTAAGAAAATAGTTTACCTTGCACAATACTCTTTGTATGGAATATTTAATTATAGGTGAATATCATTATAATTTCATTGTTTACTTTGCTTAAAATGTGTAAAGATAGAATTTCCAGTTAAACAGGGTAGATTTAACACACATTTGCTTCCTCCCCAAATTCTTCTAAAATGAGAATAAAATAATTAAAGTAGGGAAGGTGTAAACCACAAGGACTAAGACAACAGAAGAGGAGACAATTGCAGTTGCACAAATTTTGGAAGGTGGAAGAGATGGAGGAATTAGCAAAGTTTAAAAATCTGAATATCAAATGTCTACAGAAGAGAATTCCAATGACAGCCAATTTCTGTCTCAAAACTCTGTAAACATACAGCAATTTGAGGAGCTAGAAATGTAGAAGATAAGGATGTGACAACAAAGGGAGTTGAAAATCTGTTCACAAAGTATTGAGGCACTTCTCATACTGTGGAAATATTTAATTAGGGAGGCTCAAAACTTGGGGACACAAGCCTCAGTGGAAGAAGATAAGGGAGACATGCAGAGCTAAAAACAGTCATGAAGTAAAAGCTAACATACTGGGTGAGGGCCTCTTAATTCTGCTTGGTTTTAAGAATGTCACAACCAATTGTAAACTTTCCAAGAAAGAAGAGCTTGAGGGACTGGGGTGACTGACTCCATGCCCCAAGAAGAGATCTGTCTACATTGACCTTTGCAGGCGTTCTCCAGGAAAACAGTGCAGCCCACCAGTTAGCAAGCCCCGTTCATATACACAGAGCTTCTCATCAGCTTTCTACTTCCTCATTTAGGAATAGGAAGCTTCAGAAAACACTGGAAAGTTATACCAATCTCTTGGAAATTAAAAATCTGTAGCAAAAAAAAAAAAAAACTTAGAAGAGAGAAAGAAATTCTCTCAGAAAATAGAAAAAAACATGAACTTATTTTACTGCTGGTGAAAATATAAATTGGTCCAACCACTTTAGGCAATAATTTGGCAAATAGTTGAAGATATAAGTCACCTAATGACCAGTAATTCCACTGCTAGGTATATACCCCAGTGAAAGCTCTGACACTTGTGTACCATGAGACATGTACAAAAATGTTCATAATAGTATTGTTTGTAATGCAGGACACTAGAAACAACTCAAATATCAATCAGTAAGAGAATGGATAAATACATTTATGCAACAGAGGAAATGAATGAATTTCAGCTGCCTGCAACAGCATAGATAAATGTCAGGAATATAACATTGGGCAAAAATAAAAGTAAAAAAGTATGTTACAGAATACATACTGTTTGATTGCCTTTACAGGAAGTTCAATAACAACAGGCAAAATTGAATAATGTATTGTTTCAGGAGACAAATATGTGTGGTAATACTACAAAGAAAATTAGGAGTATATACAAAATTTTAATATAGCTCTGAGAAGGGAGGGAATGGAATGGAAATAGGACAGGGCACACAGGAGCCTTAAAAGGTAATGTTCTTAGATTTGCTGAGGGTTTTTTTATATGTTTTTAATCACACATATATTCATTTGTAGTTTATTCTTTAACATTACATGTAGTCAATTATATTCATTGAATAATTAAAACAATTTTAAAACAAACATGTTACAGCAGTATTTTCAGTATAACACTTTTTTTTTAGTAATAAATATACATATGGAAAAAAACTGAGGAGAGCCAACAAAGTGTTAGTAGTTTCTGTCTCTGAAGAATGGAAATATGGGACATTTAACTTTTTTGTTCTTTTCTTATTTCCCAAATTTTATACAATGACCATATATTATTTTTATAATCAAGAAAACATAACTATGTAGAAATATGCATAAATATAATAGAAAAAGATGAAATAAATGCTTTGACAAAAGATAAGGATAATAAATAGGAAAGGTAAGACTATTAGAGCCTCAATCTAGGAGCTCTACATTCAACTAAATAATTCCAGGAAAAGCAGCAAGGGGAGGGGAAGAAATTATCAAAGAAATATTACTAGAAATTCTCCTAGAACTAAGAAAATGAGTTTCTAGATGAAAAGGGGCCTTAAGTACTCAATACAATGGAAAAAAGACCTGCATCAATGCACATCACTGTGTAATTTCAGAGCACCAGGAATAAAGACAAAATCCAGAGACCTTATAGCAAAATGGAAAAAAAACACATCACATACAAAGGGTTGGGATTCAGATTGCCCTTGGTCTTTTTAACACCAGTAGTGGAAACTGTGAGGCAAAGGAACGATGGATCATATGGTCATTCTATTTTTTAATTTTTCGAAGAACCTCCATTCTGCTTTCCACAGTGCTTCTCCAATTTACTTTCCCATCAACCATGCACAGAGTTTCTCTTTTCTCAGTATCCTCACCAACACTTGTTATTTGTCTTCTTGATAATAGCCATCATAATTTGAAGTAATTACAGACTTACAGAAAACTTGTCAGCACAGAGAATTATTTTTCTTGAGACATTTCAGAGTAAGTTGCAGACCTGATGCTTCACCACCACCAAATATATTAGGTGTTCAGTTGGCCCTTAAACAGTGAGGGTTGGGATGTAGCCAAAAATCCTTGTATAACTTTTGACTCCCCTAAAACTAAACTAATAGCCTACTGTTGATCAGAAGCCTTATTGATAAAATATAAACAGCTGATTAACACATAATTTGTATGTTACATATATTATATTCTGTATTCCTATAATGAAAAAAGCTAGAGAAAAGGTTTTTTCAGATTGTTATAAATCTCCAAAAATTTTTCTAATTTATTTATTGAAAAAAAGCTGCATCTAAGTGGATCTCTGCAGTTCAAACCTGTGTTTTTCAAAGGTCAGCTATATTTCCTACAAGGATGTTGTCCCAGATCACCACTATATAACCATTAAGATCAGGAAATTAACAGAGATAATAGTAGTACCACTTGTCCCACCACTGTCCTTATTTTAGCAAAGGAGTCTTGTTCAGAATCACATGTTGCATTTACTGCTCATGTATCTTTAGTCTCTTTCATTCTGGAACAAATCTTTCATCCTTTTAATTTTTATTTATTTTTTAAAACTTTTGTGACCTTAACACTTGAAGATTTTACACCAGTTATTTGTAGGATAAATTTGGATATGCTTGACATTTCCTCACAATTGGTTTCATGCATGTTTGGTGGAAACATCCCAGAAGTGATGCTGTGTTCTCAATGCATCCTATTGTGTGGTGCACAATTTCAATTTGTGCCTTTGCTGATGATATTCCTGGTTATTTGATTAAGGTGGTATCAGTGAAGCTCCTCCCCTGCAAACTTACTTTCTTCTTTGAAATTAATTAATATTATTTTTTAAGGAGGTATTTGAAATTGTATATATATCCTGTTCCTCACTAAGCTTTAAATATATTTTTATTCATTTTATTTCTATGGACTCAGGTTTCCCATTTTATTCAATTTTTTAAATCCATTACTATCATTATTTATTTTGACATTTAAATTGTTTGCAATGTGGCCAGTGAAACATCTTTCAACCTGGCTACTATGTCTTTGTGACATGTCCCATCAATATTTAAGCATTTCCATTCTTTTTGGCACAGCAGTCTTCCAGGTTCTTATTATATTTTTGCTTCCCCAGACCTGGAATCAGCTGCTTCTCAAAGGAGGTTCGTTCATTTTAGGAAAGAATGGTATCTAGAAGCCAAGGTGTGCTTTAGGTGTGCTCATTACTTTTGGTAAAGCATTGCTTCCAGGCTTTTTCAGTGGGCAGAGCTTTAGGAAATGTGTGTCTATATGTATCTATGCATGTATACAGACATATTTGCATCCACATTCATTTCTGTATTTATCTGTATGTATTGAAAATCATGAGTTTACACTGATACCTCTACTTCCAGTCTAATACCATAGGTCTTGTTCTATTTCTTCCTCTCTATATTTGTACTCTATATTTGTACTTTTCTCAGACAATGGGAAAGATGCAGCTCCCATATCTTTATTTACTTACCTAATCAGTCACCCTGTATACAATCAGTCTCTTGTCTCTGGCCAGTCCTTCCCTGCTTGGGAGCCCTTCCCACTTCATGCACATTCTGAAACTCCGTATGTGGATGTCCTCCTCATCTTGTTGAGCCTCTAACACTCCACACCAGAGCATTGCCCCATGTGAATGTCCTTGTCACCCTGGTAAGGTTCTGACACACCACCAGACCAACTCTTTGCCAGGACACCTTCCTCATTCAGTGTAGGCTCTGACACCCTGTGTGGGCTAGGTCTCCTTAGGTAGGTACCCTCCTCATCCTGCTTGGGTTTTGACAGCCCACTCTAGGTCAAATGCAGCAGGTCAGAGTTGTGCATAGAATTTAGGGCTACTTATGATCTTTCTGGTTCTATTTTAGAGATGTACATACTTGGAGGCATAGAATGATAGACTATTATAATAGAGGATGTTGCCTGTATAAATAATGCCTATAGTTTTGGACCAAAAAAACTACATTGAAGTATAAATATGTATTGAAAAATGTAAGTACTATAAAGGTATATTTTAAGCTATCAAAAAGTGGACACACCCATAAAATTGTCACCCAGGTTAGGGAATAAAATATTATCAATACCTTAAGAGCCCTACTCATGACCTTTCCCAGTCACTCTTTATTTGATATTTTTCAATCTGACTACTACATCCTTAAAATTATATGTCCAAATCAGCAGCATGATGAATAAAATGGAGCTTCAATAAGTATACAGGGTTGACTATTTTGAAAAGCTATATTTCAACAGTTTATTGTAGCTGTAATATATATATTTTTAAGTTTCATCTTTCAGTTTGAGAAATTTCCGAGCACTCAGTCACTAGAGGGCAGTCTGTACTGCATCCACTTTTTTAGAGACAGTTGTATCCTTTTGTTAGTAACTAGAATTATTTTGCATGGAAGGAAACAAATGTTACTTCAAAGAAAGAAATATTTCACTATTCACATATAGGAAGAAAATGGACACAATTATTTTGTTCTACTGTGACTACATTGCAAGAACAGATTTCTTGGTTGAATCACTCTCAGCATCTAGAAGCCTAGTTTTGCTTTTGTAGCCCCAGCAGAGCATCTGAATTTGAAAGGGTTTGGAAGGTTTTTTTAATCTAAGCAAGCTTCAGATAATTTATCCATACTTTCCTGTAATCTTCTCCTTCTTTCCTGCATATTTCTTCAAAACACCATACTAGACTGGAGCTAAATCAGAGAAAAGAAAGCTACAGCTCAGAATCCAACATTAGGGCATTTTCTTCCATCCACTAATTTCATTTGGCATTGCTTAGTGGCAGTTCCTTCTGGTAACACCCTGTGAGAAATATTAGAGGAAGTGTGAAACAGAAAAGTTGGTCTTCCTTGATTTCAGTTATTTACTACTCCTTTCCTCATGCCGTTCTAGTTTTGTATAAATCTTTTCTTAATTAGATTGATAAACTTTACAGTTCCTGCATGTCCCTAAAATAGATGAACTCATATTCTGACACTTTTGAATCATTTTATTTCTAGTAACATAGAGAGATTCAGTACTCCTCCCTGCCCTCCTCTCTCCCTAATCATATAGAATAGTTTGGCTTCTTTTCCAGAACTTTTTACTATAATCTAATGTTATTTCTTCCTTTCTATAGATAGAGACATCGGGATCTACCAGTATTATGACAAGAAAGATCCACCAGGTAAAGTATCTATTCTATCAGCTAATTTTTTTAAACTAAATATTCCAAGCTGTAAAATACAGACCATTAAAAACTGTTTCTATGAGCATTAGATAAATCCTAGAATTAAATAAAAGTCACTTCAGCTCTTAAGCTCTTTAGAAAAATGCTAAGGTTGATATCTATTCTATATAAAATAAAGCAAAAATGAGAAAAAGCTGTAGGAGAACATGAAAATTTTCATTTTACCTCTGGTCAGACTGCTAACTGGACAGTCTTACTCACGTTTATTTATCAGTGTCCCAGTAGAGGGCATTGTTAATGCATGGGTCCCACTGATGCTGGCCTCCTGGATCTTCACCTGATATCTGAAATAGGCATTTCTGAGTGAATGATCAATTTTCTTTATCTGATTAATCCTGTTAATCTCAGAAGTTTCATGATGGGCCAAAAGGTCTTTCTAGCTAGAGTTACTTCCTGTTTTGGTGTATGTTGAAGTGGGGCTTGTGTGGGCATCCTGTGTGCTTAGCTCCGTAGTTAATAGGCTGGCTTCATGGTTCTGATGACAGACTGAAGCAGCTTCTGTTCTGGGCTCGGTTGCAGTTCCCTTCCCTATCTGATGAGATTGCAGGCTCAGGATATTGGCCCACCTGTTGTGCTATGTAAGCCTTTTCACTACAAATTTAGGAAATACCCCTATGAAATGAAAACATCCAAATGTTGGCATTTTTTTCAATTGCCTTTAAAAAAATTTAGTATAATTTATTAATCTCAGTAGTGTGTGTGATAATACCTTATATATGTGCATATAGAACTACAAAGTATGATGATGAAAATAATTTCTAATTCTTTTATTCTTTCCCTTTCTCTTCTGCCACATCAGTGACAGAACATGGTGACTTAGAAGAAAAGCAGAAGTTGGCAGAGTGTGAGCTTACTTTATATTTTTTGGCAATTATTATAAAACTGAAATTTTAATATCCCTGAAGATTCAGGTTTAAAAAGTATTTTAATTGTTCTGCACAAATATGAAATCTCATTCTTTACAAATTCCTTATAATTATAAATTCTTATTTAGGTGCATAAACATGGATTTGTTAGGCATTCCTAATTTAAGCCATTGAAATCTCTATTGAATTTTTATAAGATATATGCTTATGTAAACATAAACTTTCTTAATGAACCATTATTTAAATTATTTAATGTATTTAAAGTAAATGTATCAGCTTAACTTCTGATAATATTATTCATACTATGCCTAAGTTATTAATATGTTTTACTCACTTTAAGCACATAAAACTTGTAATGACTGGTATTAGCATTTTATTCTGTCTAGTCTTTTCTGTTCTCACATGTATAAATATGTTACATATAAAATATGGCTACTGTGTAATAAAGTTTTAATGACTTAAAATTAAATATAATTTAACTTTTATCTGGAATATAGGTGGAACTGAAAATTCTGCGTGTTCTTATTTTAAATGGTCACGCTGACGTTTACTTTTAAAAGTACTGTATTAGTAGGTGCAACATAGATTTAAAAATTTGCACATATGCTGTATACATAAATTATGTTTCTAGAATGAAATTAATTTGCTGAAATAAGACATATAGCAGTTCTATAAAATTTAAATGTCTATATGTATCATGTTTTATATGTGTACACACACAAAACACACATACACATATACACAACTCTTATTTAGAATTATTAGAACTCAGAGATGAATTAATTTTTATGATGAAATAATTATAATGAATTTAACATTTTATGAATTCTTTTAAGCAGAACTATTTTTAGTTTCTCTTAGGCTAACACTGAAAGTCTACTAAATAATTTTATCTTTTAATTAAATGTCTTTAAAACGAAAACTGATCATTATTGAATTGTGCTATAGATTTTAAAGAAGATTATTTTAAATAAAAAATAGCACTATTAGGGTTTAAATCTAGTTTGTTAAGATATGGATTTTCCTCAACTCTTAGTTTTAGTATGTGATGATTTGATGCTTAATTTTAAATTCATATTCTGTGTATGTTTTTTTGTTTATGTATTTTCTTTCCTCACTAGACTCATTTACTTATAGGAATTTTCAAGTCTAAGAGGGCTAGTTGCAGATTTAGGATTTCTTTTGGACTAAATGTTTAATTTTCTATATGAAAAGTTATTTCTGTGGTAAAGAGTAGGTCATTTAACGTTAGGTACTAGATTCTCAGGTTTAGGAAACTTTCCCAGGGATTCTCTGAGCTTTGTTGGTTGTCATCATAAAATTATGATCAGGGAGACTGTTTTGTGGTAGAAATTCTGTTCCTATGACACAGCCTTTCAAAAGGCTGTCATTTGATGATGGATATGAAGTCCACTTCCTCTCAATTAAGGAGGTGTTTTATTTTAATCTTCCTAAGGCACACAGCTAAGCAGAATTTCCTTTTAAAATCACGTTTAACTAACTGTAGCACATGTTTTATTTGCCAGCACGAGATTATCCATGGATACTCAAAAACAGACGCCCAGAAAAACTTCGAGACTCACTCAAGGAGTTGGAGGTATCTTTCCAAAAGTTTCAAAAATGGCAACAAACAAATCTGTTTTAAAACTTCTTTCAACAGCTTTAATTTTCATAAGGATCAATTCTCCTGGTGATGATAGCTTTGCTTTTGTCCATCGAGGAGTTCCAAAACAGTTGCATCTTTGTGTGGCATGCTGATTTTTTTCTTTTCTTTTTTTGCTTGCAAATCTGAAGCACTTTAACTGATAACAACAATGGGTATAGCCAACTGCACTCTCTCTTTTTCTGTTTCCTTCAGGAGCTGATGCAAAACAGTCAGTGTGTGCTGAGCAAATGGAAGAACAAATATGTCTGTCAGGTAAAATGGTTTGACATGCTTTTGCAGTGTTTAACTAATGGAGCTGAAAACTATGCAGTAATTGGTATTCTTGTGTTATGATAGGTAATGGACAAAAACTGGGAGTGGATATCTCATAGTTTGAATTCTAGTCATTCTAGAACTAACATTAGACAGATTGACACAGGCCACCAGGATACCTTATTAATCAGTATCGTGCTCACACACTATAAGCACTTATAAAAATCCTTTCAGATGATTATTCTTTGTTTGGATTTGTCTGAATGTTGTATTAGGTATTTACCTCCATAGATTTAATCATATTTTTGAATGGAGATAAAACTTTGGGACAAAAGGTTTTTTGGCATACCACTCTAGGAAACATTTGTGAATACTATGCTTATAGAAATCAACAAATATATTAAAGTTAGACTTAACATAACAAGATATGTGCTCTTACATTTTGAACCCTCTAAGCTGCTGTTTAAATATCATAGCCACTAATCACCTATGGCTATTGAAATGTAAATTTAAACTAATCAAAATTAAGCAAAATGAAAAATTCAGTTCCTCAGTTGTATTACCTACATTTTAAGGGCTCAGTAGACACATGTTATCATATGGACAGTATAGATACAGACCAATATAGATGTTATTTCCATAATAGAATGTTCTGTTGGACAGCACTATTATGGCCTAGACAATGTGAGCTACATGTTGAGTGGATCTAGATTCAGGTCATAACCAGGACAAAATAATTAGCATCCACTAGTCACAAAATAATGGACTGATGCTTCAGCTTTGGTGATAGGCTTAAAAAAATACTGTTTGCCTAGGAAAATTTTACTTGCTTATGATCAAAAGAATTATTAGTCATATACTACTCATACATGTATTTAAAGTTACATCAGTACTATTAATAATTATAGCCATTTTATGGACTTGAGTATCCTGTATTAATTGAAATTCTTACTTGTTTATAATGTGATTTATTTTAGATCTAACTACTTTTGTTTTAAGTTTAAGCCTATAGCTCTATCTGTAAATTTACAGTACCACATTTGTAGTAATTCTGAACATTTCTTAATCTACTATTTGAATATAGGCTATCATTTAATGGCCTCTAGTTTTTTCTCACTTTTTATTTAAACTAGTCTACCTTTACTCATGAAAGTTACTGTTTAGTTACCTCCTCAGCTGGCATAAATTATTACTTTCCAGAGACTGTTTACAAGGTTGAAATAGTATTTTTAGAACCACAGTACTTCTTAAATGCAACTGAGGATATAATTCAAAAGGATGGAATTATTTAAAAATTCATTTCTTTTCATAAAAGTTCTAATCAAACTTTAAAACTGAAATACAAAATAAGCTCTAGAAATTTTAAACTTAGTGTAACTAAAATTGTACTTCTCAGTGCCATTACTCACCTTAAAAGCAGGCCCCAAATTATTTGACTGGAGGGCAAGCCTACTACCAATAGTAAGAGGTGTGTCTCATGGCCTCCACCCTTACCATTGCACAGGGTAAGTTGGAACATGTCAAGCATCTTAAAATATGCCGTGGAACATCCCAATAAACAATCCTTTTTAAATAGACGATTGCATTTTAAGTCAATAAGCAAGTTTATGTATGTATGTGTGTGTGCTGGGGTGAGGGAAGTATGGGGAAGGATACCCATCACTATTGAATCAATTCAACTGAGAAAAGGAATTTTCATGGTAGAATATATTTAAAATTACTTTTGTAATTTACAGCAACTTGACAGCCCTGTTGTAGGCTGTCAATCCTGTTAGGCCTTGTACCAATGAATCGCTTTTAACATTTCCAGTGGAACTTATCTTTCTTTAATTTTGTCATATTTTGTGCTTTATTTCTCTGATTAATAAGATATTCCTAAAATAGAACTTATGCTTCCACTTTATTCTTGAGATGATATAGTTTAATAAGATAACTTGACCTCCGTCCTGCCCACAGGTCCAAGTTAGTCCCTACATTTTTAGGGCCCATGAGAGACCCAATGTTATCTATCCACTTCCTCAGTTTCTAGGTAGGACTGTTAACTAAGTCTTCTAAAACTATGCGTGTATGTGTGTGATTACTTAAGATCTCTAATGTCACAGTAAATTTAGAGATTGGTGCTCAAGCTAAATTTTTATAAGTATCACCTTAACCCTTTGCTAGTTGTAAACTAAGTGAAGCACCTCTACAAGCTCCCTGAAGGTCCACCTTTTGTGCATCATCCAATGTAATGGCCCCAAAGATAATATGTACTTAAATCTCTATTAGTAATTTTTTCCATATATTTAGCACTTAAATGACACCAGTTGACCACAACATAATGTTCTCTAACTTTTAGACAAGGAGTGAAAAAAGTTCCTCAGTATCTTGCTACTAATATAGCTGGATTCTCAGTCTTTGACTATGGTCACTTCTCAACTAATGTTATCTTCCCTCCACACTTCCGCCCCCTCCACCCACCCCTGCCCCCTGCAGTGGCAGATTTAGGATTTATGGAATTTATCTTGGTGTCTTCTTTTTAAGGGATTCTTATTTCCTCCAAAGATCCAATTATTTAGAAATCAGCAAGGCAACTATAACAACATAAAGAATTTCAAAAATCGCAGTTGAGCTTGGATTTTTCCCTCTTTTGAATAATGAGGTTTTATAGGTTATCATCATTACCAAAGCTTAGTTTTTATTGTTGGTTCAATGACCTGTAAGTTGTATCATTTTAAAAATAATTCCCTCCACTTGTAAATTCTGACCAGTTTGTGAATCAAGATTTACCTGTCCATAATAGTCTATGTGAAAATTGTCTTTTGAAGTTGACTTTTCAGACTATGCCGTTTCCTAGTTTGAAATGCATTAAAACTGTGAGATGTAACTTAGAGGTTTAATTTTACTAGCCATCAAATATATTTCCCATTTTTTTATCTCTTAAAATCATTTCATCTCATCATGAGAAAGTGTTTAGTAATTTCCTACTTTGAATTTCATTGTATTATTTTTTAAATTAAGGTATCATTGATAAGCAATTTTATGAAGGTTTCACATGAGTAACATTGTGGTTTCAGCATTCACCCATATCAAGTCCCTCCTCATTGCAATCACTGTCCATCAGTATAGTAAGATGCTATAGAGTCATTAACTCTGTTTTCTCTGTGCTATACAGCCTTCCCTTTGAGCCCCCCTACATTATATGTGCTAATTGTAATGCCCCTTAATCCCCTTCACCCTCCCTCCCCATCCACCCTTCCCAGCCCCTTCCATTTGGTAACCCCTAGACCCTTCTTGGAGTGTGTGAGTCTGCTGCTGTTTTGTTCCTTCAGTTTTTGCTTTGTTCTTATACTCCACAATGAGTGAAATCATTTGGTACTTGTTTTTCTTCACTTGACTTATATCACTGAGCATAATACCCTCTAGATCCATCTATGTTGTTGCAAATGGTAGGATTTGTTTTCTTCTTATAGCTGAATAATATTCCATTTTGTATATGTACACCTCTTCTTTATCCACTCATCTACTGATGGACATGTCTTGGCTATTGTAAATAGTGCTGCGATAAACATAGGGGTGCATATGTCTTTTTGAATTAGGGACCTTGTTTTCTTTGGGTAAATTCCTAAGAGTGGAATTACTTGGTCAAATGATATTTCTATCTTTAGTTTTTTGAGGTATCTCCATATTGCTTTCACAATGGTTGAACTAATTTACATTCCCACCAACAGTGTAGGAGGGTTCCCCTTTCTCCACATCCTTGCCAGCATTTGTTGTTCCTTGTCTTTTGGATGTTGGCCATCCTAACTGGTGTGAGGTGGTATCTCATTGAGGTTTTAATTTGGGTGTCCCTGATAATTAGCAATGTGGAGCATCTTTTCATGTGTCTGTTGGCCACCTAAATTTCTTCTTTGGAGAAGTGTCTCTTCAGATCTTCCACCCATTCCTGCTTTGAATTTCTTAAACCGTTTTTCAACCATTATACAATAGTTTTATAACACTGCTTATTTTACAAAGGGAGTAATAGTTTCAGCATTAAGACACTATTAAATTGTGCACCAGCCTGGTGGAATTTTAAAATTCCTTAAATTATTGTGCTAACCTGTTTGCAGGTTATTGTAAAACTAGTTCAAAACACCATAGTATCATTGAGATTGATATAATTTCACATTTTTATTTTTTATTAGATTATTTGAAGCTTATTTATACTTTCAACTATAAAAGTATATGGTATAGTTAGTGGTATTTTGATTTTTTCTATAACAATTCCACATACACATGTACAATGTTAAAACTTCAAGAAAAGAGTTTCCTTTTTTAATTTTTGTAATGAATTACTTGACAGGTTATGTAAAAATATAAATTCCTTTCCAAGTCTATCACAAATAAATTGTATCTTACGGAGCTCATTTTATCACAATTTCCTCAGTTGTAGAATGGATAGCATCACTATCTGATCTTTCATCAAATTATGTGAAGTCAATTTGATTGCCTCATAAAATAATAATTAACAAACCATGGTTTTAAGTTACAACTATTAGTTATAGCATGTTATTTATACAAAGCCCATCACACAGTATTGGATTTCCACCATTGTGGGAGGCACTAGGAAGTGTAAGGTGTGGAGCCAAGTCCCAGCATAACTTAGTTAAGAAAAATAGACACATGAAATTACTAGGACACTAATAAGTGCTAAGTATGACACTGATAAAAAGATAGTAAGACTTTAGAGAAAGCATAGACATTAACCTGGCAGTGGCATGTAGGGTAAAATATGAACCAGATACAGTTTATATAAAGGACAAATAAGATGGAATAATTATTTTCTAGAAACATCAAACCAGAGCATTTCTGTTCTTGAAGTTGCTAAACACAGTACTGAGTAAAAGGGAGGTTGTTAGACTGAATATAAGGGGATTAATTGAATGTGTGCACCTGGAAAAGTGTGCTATTCCCCAGCTCTTTACCCCTTCAACAGCTAGGCTTATGTTTCTATGTAACTTAGAGGACAGTTCTCAACC